TAGCCCTTAAAGGAAGAGTGATTTTAACAGGCAAGGATGGAAGACAGGTTTCATTCCGAATAGATAGAAAATCCTACACAATTGCACAGAAGCTGGAGAGGACAGGATGAGATCAGGCAATAGCAAATAGTCCCATTTGTCTAGACCACAGAGAGTGCATGAAGGGAAAAGGGTGAAATAAGCTTGGAAACCAGGTTGTAGCATGATAGCTCGGGGTCTTAAACACCAGGTGGAAGAGTATATTTTATCCAAAACATTGGAGCAGGGCAAATCACAGTCAGACTTTTGCCTTAAGAAGATGATTTTGGCAGCTGTGTTGTGACTTGGAGAATGGAGGGAATGGAGCCTGGAGACTAATTAGGAGTAAAAAAAACAACCTGAGTTAGGGGTGTAGCTGAGGAATATAAATACGGGGACGAGACAGAGAAATGTGATAGATCTAGAATTGACGGGGCTTGGCAAGTGAGTGAATGCGGTTGGTGAAGGAGAGGGAAATTGTGGGAGAAGGTCAAAGTGAGCAGGAAATAACTGAAGTTACCACTGAGATAGAACATTCTCAGTGCTGATAGGGCTCAGAGGTATGTGGGCATTTGGGGCTGGAGGTATACCTCTGTATATGGTTGATAATAGAAGCCATGAGAGTAGATGAGTATTTTCAATCAATAAACATTTATTAAACATCTATTTATGCTGAACATTTATGCTAAACACTTGATTAAGAAAGAAGAGAAAAGGACAGAAACTTGTGAGACTGAAAGAATATATGAACAAGAGAAGAAGACTGGGAAGGTACATTCGGATAGTCAATAATATGTCATGTTTATTTCATTTAATTCCCACAACAACTCTGCTTATGAGGCAGATACTACAAGTATAATAGACCCATTTTACAGAGGAGTAAACTGAGACTCAGAAAGGTTAAATAACTTGCCCAAGGTCACATAGCTATTCAGATTCAGGGGCAGCTTTCAAACTCAGGTCTTCTTAACTTCAAATTCAGCAGAAAGATAGACAGACAGACAGATAGAGGTTGAGAAAGAGTAATTAGTTGAAGTATTTAGGGCATCATAATTTTGACATTCTAGATGCCAAACACAGTACAGAGCAGATGCTTAATAAATACTTGTGGGTTGGTTGATTGATTCGACAGAGTGTTAATATATGGAGAAAATAGTAAGAAGCTAGCCTGGATAAAGATGGTACTAGAACATGCTAGAAGGATTGGTTCTTATGATAAGTAGTATGTTGGTAGAAGAGCAATAAGTGATGGAAGAGGAGAGGCTGAGCAAGATGGTAAGAGAAACCTGTGGTTTTCGTTTGATCATATGTTTTTATATAAACATTACTGAAAAATTGAGGTCTACCAGTCAAAATGTCCTTTCTTCTAGTTTTTGATACTTCAGTATTTGTCCTGTCTTGCCTTTGATAAGTATTTTGTTAGTCACTGAAATATGTGTTGGCTGTTTTTAAAAACTGGTCTCCTTGTGGTTTTCCACCTTGAAAAAACCCAAGCTATTCTGTTAAAGAAACAGTAACAACCCTTTAAAAGCTGAAAAAAGCCTTCTGCTTGTTTTCAGAGGGTAAATTCAGCTGTTTTGCAGAAATATTTTGTCTGTTCTTGACAGTGTTCTTATGTTCTCAACTATACTTTCCTCTGTGCTTCAGTATGACCGATCTTGTTTCATTTAGGACCTGAATGATCTTTGACATGATTGACTTCCCCACACCAACAGCTACTGAAATGTGCTCTTTAAGCACCTCAACTTTTGCGTATTTTCTTGGAGCGATATCCATTCTCCAAAGCCTCAAAACTAAAAATAAAACAAAAACAGAACAGTGGAATACTTCTACACGGCATAAAATCCAGCTCTCAAAAGAGGAGTAAATAAAGGCGGGGCATCTAGCTCAATCTGACTTCATCTGGTAAAGATCAGATGTTCTGAGTTAGCCTCTTATTGTCAACAGAAGCACAAATGAATGACCAGCACTGTCAAAAATGAAAATAAGCAAAGATTGCTTGTGCTAAGTAATTGACACACCACCGAAGAATCCTCTATGATTCTAATCTATATATGAGGGACAAGCATGTTGTTGGATGAGAGGCTACAATATTGTCTACTGAGTCAAGTGATTTTGTTTAAGCTAACAGCTATCTATGAAGGCCAAATTTTGAATTTCCCATACTTCTTAGTTGTGATGCAACAGTGGGAACACGGCTTGTTGAAGAAAATCATTTGGGTAACCCTAACTATTCCCTACTGGTGATTTCATTCAAGATAGCCTTGGTATATGCATAGAAGAGTTTCCTGAAGATTTTAGAGATATGAGAAAGTAGGCATAGAGTTCTGTAGATACGAAGGTGTTCTCATTGTCTTTTTCGTTTTGTAAAAGTATCATCTTTTTTAATTCTTTTGGAATCTCCTCCCTCTTTTAGAAACCTTGAAAATCGATCCCTGTGTACCTTTAAAATTGTATTTCTTCCAGTACAAATTTCTTCTCTATATGTGTCTCTGACTCATCCTCTCTTCCTGATTTCACTTTCTTAGATATCACAGCCACTTCCACAAATGGGACACAGCATACTGAGGTAGCCAGGTCCAAATGCGGTGGTGCTACTCTCATGGTCAATAACAATATGCTCTGATGCTGAATACATTTCAGGCAAAATATGAAACAGAAATGCCTTGCCCATCTTATTTGATTGCCCAAGTTTAAAATGATGGTGCTGAGTATGAGCTCCTCATGACTAGGGATTGTTTGACTCATTATATTTGTATCCCTAACACCTCACACAGTACCTGGCATAAAGTCAACAAAATGCTTTTTGGTTGATTAATTGATGCTTATAATAAACATAGTAATATTAGCAGCCAGCAACCTCCATGACTCTCTTCTATCTCTGTGACAGAATTCAAACTTCTCAGACTAACATTTAAGGTCCCCTCCCTAGTCTGGGTCAAACCCAGGAAAAGATCTAACCTCCTTGACACTATTTTTCCTGCCCTTTGTATACTCTACATTCTAGACAAACTGAACCAGCAGCTGTCCCCTGATCTTGTTCCACATCCTCCCATTTCTACACTTTTGTGCAGTTATCTACCATGCCTTAATATGTTCCTTCCTTATTTCTATCTATTTCAATTCTTCTCTTTCCACAAAATTCAGCTCAGGTCCTACCTCTTTCGTGAAGCATCCCCCCATTTTCCCCAGTTGACCATGATCTCTTCCTCTTCAAAGGTTTCTTTTTTTTCTTTCTTTCTTCCTTCCTTCCTTTCTTTCTTTCTCTTTTTTTGGTACTTTCATTGATCTTCTTTGCTTTCATCACATTCTACCTATTAAAATACTTTTTTTGTATAATTGAATACCATAATTATTAGATTGTAAGATCTTTGAGAGTAGAAACTATTGTTTTCCTTCTTTGTGTCTTCATTGTGTAACACAGTACCTTGTAAATAGTAGGTATTTGATAAGTATTATGAAGTTGAAATGAATTTGATCTTGGCACTGTATGGCACTTAATTTTTTCCAAAACCTTCACATATTTTAATTCATTTCATCTATATGATGTAAATATGTCAGGTACTGTTAGGCCTTATCGGGGAACTGAAGCCTAGAAACGCTAAACAACTTGCTTGTACCGTGCAGAATTTTTAGTGATAGAGCTAGGACTAAAACCCATATCTGCCTCCTTTACTCAAACACCCACCACACTAACTAAAGGAAACAAGGAGAATATTTAGCTTGTGTTATTACTATTGTTGCTCCTAATGCTTTGGGATTATTTTAATGGAATATCCAATGTGTTTTCCTGTGCCTCCCACAGTGCCTAGGATAGAGTTGATAATGGTAGGAATTTAATAAATGTGATAATAATACACTGACAGATGGAAATTAGAGGTTAGAGACTGGAGGGGGGAGGCAGGGTGGAGCAGGAGAAACAACTCACTAACAATACTGCAATGACAAGAAGGGTAAGGAAGTAGATATATAAAAAGGCTTTTTTTTTTTTTGAGTCCATCACTGAGTACGAACCTTTTCTGGCATTAATAAAACAATAAAAACTAGACTGGTAAAAATGTAATCCAGGGTAACTCTGTCTCTAAACAGCTAGAGAAGAGATTCCTTTCTATCAATTTCTAATAAAGAGAAAGACGGTCTTCATTCAAGTCCAACTCCAAAGCCTCATGGTGCTACATGGGTAATCCTGGGCTCTTGAAAGCCAATGAAAAAGAAGCTATAAATGTGTGGAAGGGCTTCAAGTACAAATCCCATGATGGAGTTGGTATCTGTCATCCAAACTAACCTAGTTTAGAGAAGTACGTCACTAAAAGATGGGTCGCTGGCTAATGAATTTTTTTTGGCCACTAGTCATAAAATGCCACAAGCAAAAACAATTCTCAACAGTTTAGAGTAAGTGTCTTAACATTCTTTTTGTCACTGAGCCCTTCAACAGACTGGAGAAACCCATCAGAATCATGTTTTTTAAATAACTGAAGAAAAGGCTCAATTTCAATTAGAGTTAGTGAAAATAAAGGTGTAATTTTTCCCACATCCAAGTGCTCAGAGCACTTGAAATGTACTCACAGACCTCCTCAGTGTTCCTTGTATTGATCCCAGGTTAAAAACCTGTAGTTTAGAAGTGACAAACTTGCTATCCTCCCACCAGATTAAAATAAATGTAATTGGGAATTATAAAGGTACAACATAAATAAATAAAAATACAACAGAGATAATGTTAAATTGCAGTTTTCTTAATCAATATGAAAGTAGCAGAGATTCATTTCTATTTGAGTTTGACGCCATTGGTATAGATGATTTGCCACATGTATCCGTGGAAGAAGGACCCTTGCTAGTGTTCATGCTATAGCTATGGTACCAATCACAACCTATTTAACACATAGTATTCCCATCAAAAATGCCCAATGGCATTTTTCATACTCGTGCAATAAAAACACATTCGTAAGACTAACACAAAACAGTTAGTATCCTTGTTTCCCTACCTTCTGTATCACCGCCTTGATCTTCTGGAGGTGCTGATCCAAACTCCAGTTTCTCTCTTGCTTTTGTACGGACCCAGGAAACTTCCTTGGAAGATGTTGCAGAGCCCCAACCACACGTATCAGACTCAAATCCACAAAACTGACATACTACGGGGGGAAAAAATAGCTCTGCTTTGTATTAGGGAATAACAAAGGATCCTAGGCCTAATTCTCTCACTGATTCAACTTGGGCAAACTACTTTGTGTCTGATTACTCAGAATTGTTTTTAAGGAATTTGTTTCTAATTAAGTAACTAACTGTGGCAACATGGGGCCACTCCTTCTGCCATCTCTGTTGGACCTCCTTCCCTTAACTCTCCCATGTTGTAGGTTATCATCATCCCAAGAAGGACATCTTTCTTCCCATGTCCCAGGTTCTGAGATGCCTTAACCTGAGGGCCAGGAGGAAAGACATTCATAGAAGGGGAAGCTCTAGAAAGGGAGGGGGCAACTCCCCAGGGCCCCTGCCTAGCAAATAAATTCACTTTTTAGTAAACTAGCAAATCTCCACTGTATCTACCAAGGGTCTCTCAAACTCTGTGAAGATCAAGGGATGATAAGAATAGGGATGGGAGTGAGGAAGGAGAGCAAGGTGGTTGGTGGAGAGGCAGAGGATATATGAACATGGGAACCTCCAATCCTGCATAGCTAGGTGATAGCCAGTGTGCATAATAGGGACAGGTCTATTACATGTCTAGACTACCTAAGATGGTGTTACCCCTATGAAAGGCTCTTGGGAACTATTTTTGGGAGACTGAAAAACCATGTTTGGACATTCTGCAATGTCCTACCACTTAGCTGGGAGGAATCTTTTTCTGTTGGTTGCATAGCCCAAACTATCAGCTACTTCAAAAGGTCTGAGTCATCGTGGGGGAGGGGCTTCAAATGCATTCCTCCTAGAGGGTGCAGAGTCTTCACTCACCATCCATAAAAGGAATAGGTTTAGGACCTCCTTCTCCAGCCCCCAAGCCAAATGACCTCCTCCTCCCATGGACCTGGAACTTCCCTCAGTCCCTTTGGCCTTCTCACTCTGGAATTTCCTTCCATTCACTGCTCTTTCTCCTGGGTCCTCCATTTTGGGAAGTGACCTAAGCCATGCTTCTGAATCTCCAGATTTCGTCTCCTTGCCCCATGGACTGCCTCTTCCTATTCCCCCCACTTTTTAGCTCCCTTTTATAGGTTGCCTTACTCCACTAGAATCTAAGCTTCATGAGGGCAGGAGCTGTCTTTTTTTCTTTTTTATTTGTGTTTATGTATCCCCAGCATATTGTAAACTCAAGAAATACTTCATCACCTGCCTGCCTAAGCCTTCAACCTTTTGGTTCATTCTTTCTCCTTCTAGGTTCAGGTATTGGGTCTCTCTGATATGAGCCATGGAATAAGGGTATCCAGGAATATAAGCCTGGTGTTACAGTCAGCCCATCATTGAGGCCTCTAGAACAGAGAACAATCATCATTAGACTGTGACATTTGGGAGTCCAGTCCAATAGAAGCCAGGCTATGATAAAGGCTTTGGCCTTGAAGTTGGTAGAACCAAAGTTAGAGAATAACTAAGCTAAACGGTGAGCCTAATCTCTTTCCCTACCCCCAAGAGACTGAAATGGCATAGGAACAATTATATCCCAAATGTGTTAGGAAAAAAATGTATGTTCAGCCTATATCTTGGAAGTAAATATTCCTTTGTAAAAGTTAACCCTATGTTATTTGTTTAAATAAAACAGCATAATATCAAATGAGATAATATTTGTAAAAAGCACGTGGCACAGTACCTGGTACATAGAAGGTGCTGTGTAATTTCTTATTCTTTTCCCTCTATTAATAACTGAACCCTTGCACTTAGGGAGAAAAGGCTAGTAGAGAGAAGGGGTACCTCCAAATCCTAGGTGGCTGAAAACTTTGGGGTGAGAGGAATAATTGGCCTGGCCCTGAGAAAGTGGGGACCAGGGCAAGCAAATTGGAAAGAAAACCGAGCTCCAAAGGCAAAGCACAGACAAGAGGAGGATACTCAAGGGTGGTGAAAATGAAAAGGACTGTCAGCACCTTCTCTCTTTTCCAAGATCTAAGCAAGCAGGAAATAATTGAGAATCGGTACTCTCCCTCCTATTACTCACTTCCCAACTTGTGGCTTACCCCAAGTTCTAGGACAGCCTCATTCCAGTTGATGGTCAAGGAATGAGATGGTGACAAGTGTAGAAGGCACAAGAAAAGTAGAGTAAGGTAGAAAGATTTTCGATCAACAAACCCAGACTCCAGATGTCATTCAGATTCGACTCCCCTCTCTCTCAAATCCCAGTTAAAATCCTGCTACCCACCTCTGACTCGGTACCAATCTTGACAGGAAAGAAAATAGAAAAAAGAAGTACATACCTGCCTTGCAAAGGCAGAGCATGCAAATTCCACCCAGCCTCATCCCCAATTTTCCTATTTATTAAATGGAGTCATATCACTTTGCTGCAGGGAAATAGAGCATTATGTATTTCTGTGTATTTTGTAGATGGATGGAGATACCTTGACCTGTGATTCCATGGGTAAAGGACTTTCCTCCTATTTCCTCTGATGCAAATAAGCAACTTGGGTTTTTAAACATGTTTGTGTCAGACCCCTTTGGCAGTCTGGTAAAGCCTGGGGATGCCTTCTCAGATAGAATGTATTTAAATGCATAAAGTAAAATATATAGGATTATAAAGGAAACAATCATATTGAAAAAAATAAGTTGTCTGACCCCAGGTTAAGAATCCCAATCTCAGGCAATTTCCTGGGGCACTAAGAAATAAAATGATTTGACCATGGTCACATAGCCAGTATGTATCAGAAATAGACATTGATCCTCGGTCTTTGTGATTTTAAAGTAAAGGTTCTACCCACTTCATCACACTGACAATGCTCATGGTAATCATAAATAATTTAATTTTAGTGAAACCTTATGAATTTTAAGAATCAAATCCACCAGACATTAAATACCTACTATGTGCACTACCGAATTTTGTTATATTAAATCAAGATAGCTTTATGAGATCTTTTTTTCTGAATAATATGGCAATACCTTAGGCTATCACTATCTAGTGGGCTATCTCTAAATAGAAATTGAATGCTATCTCCAATACTGCCATTTTTTAAAGGTAGAAGAGAAGTTAACTAATAAGCATTCCTATTGGTGTGCCCCAAGTTTTGTGAATTGCTACTTCCCAACAAAGCAATGACTATACAATATTCACCAATCAAGGAGGGGCCCCGGGCAGTCACTCCACTTTACCACTTACAGCAGGATTTTTCATTTGCAGATTCATGGTCAAAGCCATTTTCATAACACAGACTCATATCTGGCTGGTGTGTCCAATCACAGGTATTCAGTCTTTCTTGACATGGTAAGATTTTACCTGTTAAAAGATTGCCAAGAAGTGAAATGTGATTATTATCTACAAAGTCTAAAGTATTTGGGAAGACAACTTTTACTTTTCTTTAAGAAAAAAGTTATCTAATTGTCCAGTAAAATGTCCTTCTCTCGACACTGCTCAATATCTATTTCTTTAAGCAAATCTCTTAGACAGACCAAGAAAAGAAACTAGACCTAGAGAAACTCAGAGTCTACACCAGGCCTGCACAACCTGGGGCCTGCCAGAAGATTTCAGGTAGCCCTCAAAAAATGTAGAGGTCCATGGGTGGCACACTAAAGTATTTTAGATGACCCATGAAAAATGTAGAGAATGTTTCTCTACATTTTTCACAGACTGCCCGAAATCCTTTGGCAGGCTGCAGGTTGTACAGACCTGGTCTACACTGTGAACATGTGTAGAGATGAAATTGGAAGAGCTAGATGGAACAATGGAAAGAGTGCTGGACTGGAGTCCAAGGACCCAGGTTCAAATCTTAGTTCAACCACTGTGTGACCTTAGGCAAATCATTTCACATCTTTGGGACTCAATTTTTTCATCTATGCAATAAATGGATTGGATTAAATAACCTCCAAAATTACTTCTAGGTCCAGATCTATAATGCTGTGATCCACTTGTCCCTGTCCCCTAGAAACACCCCTCCCTCTGGCTAATTGTAATAAATATGTGAGAACAGTTTCATCAATGGTCTACACAAGAATTAATATTATTGTGATTAGCCTGTGTTTATAGTTGAGGAAGAAGATGAGAGGGAGAGAGGTCTTTCTGAATGGGTGGCCATTTCTATACCTGTCTAAAGAGAAAGGATGTTCATAATTTTTTTTTATTTTACTCTTTAATGGTATACCTTCCTAGATATGATTACTGGATTAACCTTTGAAAATTAACCCTAAAAGACAATGGAATTTAGATCTAGAAAGAGCCCTGGAGTTTATTTGGTCCAGGTTCCTCATTTTATGGAGCCTAGGATCATAAAATGATCAATCTTGAGCTCTACAGGATCCCAGAGGCTATGGAGTTCAACATCTTCAATTTACAGATGAGGAAGCTGAGGCCCAGAGAGGCCCCAAAGTCATAGAGGTAATAAATGGCAGACCCAGGCCACAAGCACAGACCCGGTGACTAAATTAGAGGCCAAGAGAGGCTAAGTGTCTTGGACAAAAACACACAGATAGTAACACAAGGACTGACCCTGTATTCAAACAAAGAATTTATGACTCCAAATCTGGCTTTCTTGATACTATTCTACTCCTCCTCACCATGATGCTGCAACATAGTCTTCCAACATGCATCTTTTATATAAGGTCTCCTTTTTTTTTCATTTAATACAAGTTCAACTTTGTCATCTCTTGATATTCTCTAGTACAGAATATGTGTTTTAATACTAGCCTTCTCCAGAAAAAGAAAGATGCAGTGTCAATAACAGCAAAGAAATTGCCATGGTCCAATGCACCACAGAGCACCATTAGTCATTCCATCCATCGGATTGCTTCTTTTCTCTGGGACCAAACTTGACTATATCATGAAACCATGAAGATGACTGGCTTTTTGATGTTCTTTCACTACTACTTCTACCCGTCTATTTCCTCTCTGTACTTCCTACTCTACCCTGTCCAGCAACTTAAGGTCTCGCTCCCTCTGGGACAGGAAGAGAAATTCTAGAAGTCTCTGAAGCTTCCACTGACAAATATCAGAGACCAGGAAATCTACATTTATGCTGGTAACAAAAGTGACCCCAGCTGACGCATCTCTTTATTTAGGAGCAAGTTCCCTTGGAGACTCACGAGGCTCAGGTACGTGGTGGTTTGAAGAGAGGTAGTACCTCCAGTCTAGCTTTGGAATTGAAAGAAGAACCCATCATTTGAAGGCTTATTGTACTGTATTCTAAAGATAAATAAAACCTAATACAGATCAAGAGTTTTAAGGGTAACTCCAGTCATCTATGGCTGAACAGAGAAGGCTTATTTATGTGTTCATATGTTTGTGATAAAAACTAAAGTAATTGGTTATGAAAATGAATTATGGATGCATACATAATCTGGTTTCTCCTAATGAGAGTTTGTAGACTATGAATATGCAAATCCTTTGGAACGTAGGATCCACTAGAAATAAAATAGCATATGCGGTTGAGGGAGGGTTGGCAATAAATGACCCCAAAATTGTACAATAACAATTACCATGAAACAATTAAACCCATAATTTTCGTTACTTCATATAATGGCTACAAATCTGTTGTCCCCTAGAGCTACATAATTAAGTATTGGCCATAGTTCAATTGAATAGTGCACTTTATCTCTCTAATTTGTCACTGCTCATACAAGTCAAAAGATGGAAATTACTGTAAATAAAAATAGTGAAGTAGTTAAGCACAAATTGTGTGGAATTAAAAATCGAAGTTGTGTTAATTGGCATGAAGTAGATAGGAAGGGCACTCTAGCATTGGTGAACTGCTGGAACAGTATGGTTACAACAGATAGAATAGGCTTCCATCTGTAGAACAAAGACTATAGGTCCATATTTGAATGTTAAATGGCCAGAATGGTTCAGGGATGCACTTTCCTTAGAAAGGAGGAATAAATAAGGCAATCTGATGGCAGAGTTTACATTCTAAAGGAAGCTGTTTCCTCTCTCTACTGCTTAAAAAGATACAGAATAGGTTCAGAGAGACTCCAACATCACAAAGGGCTGTGAACACCTGGCCAAACTTCTGACTATCTTTTTCTCACTTTTCAACAAGAACTGCTATGGAAAATTCCTTTGCAGCTTCTAAAAATCCTCCATTTGTGAACCATGACCAGCCTGAGGCAATGCCAACATCTCAGACTTTGTGGCAGCAGTTCCTGGAAAATGGCCACATTGAAAATCTTATCTCACACAGACAGGTAATATGAACCTGGCCAAAAGTCCAGATAGGATGGCAACCCAAGACCCAAATCTCAGAACCCTTTGTTATAGCAGCCTGGTATCTGTGCATTTGGGAGCTTGTTCTATTACTGCCACTACCACAGCCACCGTCATCATCATGGCATTTCCACACTATCTTCCTCAGTATATTGTTCCTTCTATCATCCCAAGACTCTCACTAATCTGTCATTGACTATTGAAGTGCACCCTTACATTCCCCTTAAAAAAAAAAAAAACCTTCACTTCATCTGATGATTCACAATACCTGTCATACCATATCTCTTCTCTTCTCTTTTTGTGGCTAAATTCCTTCTGCACTCTCTGCCTCCACTTCCTCTTCTCAATTATAAACCCCATTAAATCTGACTTCCAACCTCATCATTCAAATGGAACTGCTTGATAAGATTATCAATTACCTCTTCATTAATAATTTTAGTGGCTTGTTCTTTGTCCTTATCTTTCTTACCCTCTCATAGCCTTTGACACTATTGATCTGTCTCTTCTCTTGAATACTCTATACTCTCTAGGTTTTTTCTCTTTTCTCTTGGTTCTTTTCCTACATACCTGGTCACTCCTTCTAAGGTGCCTTTACTGGAATTTCATCCAGGTAATAGCCACTAATTATTTTTGTCTCCCAAGGGTCTATGTGGAGCCCTTTTTTTCTTCTCACTCTACATTATTTCATTTGGTGATATCATTAGCTCCCACAGGAGCTACATATCTATGTAGATGACTCCTAGATCTATAAATATATCTTGAACTTTTCCCTGAGCTCTAGTTTCTCATCACCAACAGCCTTTTGGATATCTTTAGTTCAAATTATCCAAATTCCACTCATTATCTTTCCCCTCCTTCCCAACTTCCTTATTACTATCTAGGAAACAAATATTCTCCCAGTCATCTGACGTGTCATCCTTGACTCCTCTCTCAAACTCACTCTACTGGTCTGATTCATCCAACTCCTGTCATTTGTACTTTTACATCTCTTGTATATATGCCCTTCTCTCCACTTTCATACCTACCACACGTTGGCATAAGTTCTCATCAGCTCACCCCAAGACAACTGCAAGAACCTTCACATTGATCGAATCTCAAGTCTACACTTTCATGTTCTCCTCACCTGCCAAAGGGATCTTCCTAAAGAACAAGACTGACCATATCACATCCTCTCCTATTTAATAAACTTCAGTTATTTCCCATTATCTTCAGGATCAAATATAAAAATCCCCTTTTCAGGTTTTCACCCTTGGTCTCTGACTACCTTTTAAGTTTTCTGATACTTTACCCCTCTCTATGCAGTCTTTGATCCAGTGATACTGGCCTTCTCACTCACTGTTCCTTACTCACAGTCCACTATCTACCTAATTTGTACATTTGCAGTGGTTATCTCTCATGACTGGAATTTTCTCCTTCCTCATCCCCTCCTCCTGGCTTCTCTAGCTTCCTTCAAACTCAGCTGGAATCCCATCTCCTGCAAGAAGCTTTTCCTGGTCCTGCCCATTGCTAGTGTTTCCCTTCTGAAATAGTCTTTCATTTATATTATTTCCATTGGTATGTGCATAGTTATTGGTATTTTCTTTCCCCAACTAGAACGTGAGCTCCTTGGGGACAAGGTCCAGTTGTTGCCTTTCTCTGTATCCTCAGCCCTTAGCACACATTTGCATAATAAATGCTTGTTAATTAACATATATAATGTTTTAGTTAAAAAGCTCTTTACTACATTATGTCAACATCAGTTATACCCATAAATCAGTTGTTTATTTGCCCACCCAGAAACTATTGCTGCTTTAAGGTGAGTATTTTCAAGATTAATCAATTAACAAGCATTTATTAAGAGCCAGGAAGGGTGCTAGGCACTATGGATATAAATACAAAGAACAAAATAATTCATACTCTTGAGGAGCTTATATTCTATGGATAAGAGCTCTGGGTTGGAATAAGATATGTGATGCCAAGAAAAGCCCACAGTCATTGACATAGTAAGTAATAAATCTAGGATTTGAACCCAGGTCCTCTGGGTTCTCTATCCAGTGCTGTCTCTACTATACTGTGTTCCATTAGGTGTGGTACCATTTAGCAAG